CCTTCCTTCCTTCCTTCCTTCCTTCCTTCCTTCCTTCCTTCCTTCCTTCCTTCCTTCCTTTCCTTTCCTTTCCTTTCCTCCCTCCCTCCTCCCTCCCTCCCTCCCTCCCTCCCTCCTTCCTTCTTTCCTTCCTTCCTTCCTTCCTTTCTCTCTTTCTCTTTCTCTCTCTCTCTCTCTCTTTCTTTCTTTCCAGCTATTGGGAATAAGATTGTTTTCCTTTTCACTATGTTTGTTTTGCTATATAGAAAAGCTACTGGTTTTCTATATGTTGGCTTTATGCTATGCTACTCTGCTGATGGTGTCACCACATCTAAGAGTTCTGTGGTAAGGTCTTATGAATATAAAATCATGTTATCTGAAAATAAGAAGGATTTGTTTCCTTCTTATTTGTATCTCTTTGATTCTTTGCCTTATTACTCTTGCTAGTGCTTCAGACACTGAACTGAATAATAGAAATACTGAACACTTTAGCCTGTTCCTGATTTTAGAGGTAATTCTTTCAATTTGCTCCATTCAGTAAAAAGTTGTCTATAGGTTTGTCACATGTAGCTTTTATTCTGTATAATCTATCTGTTCCTAGCCTTTTCAGGACTTTTATTATAAAGAGGTATAAAATTTTGTCAGAGGTTTTTTTCTGCATCTGTCGAGATGATCATGTGATTTCTGTTCTTGGTTCTACTATGTGATCTATACTTTATTGGCTTGGGTATGTTGAACCATTTTTTAAAAATTATTTTGTACATATGAGTGTTTTTCTGGCTCGTGTGTGTGTGTGTGTGTGTGTGTGTGTGTGTGTGTGTGTACCAATGTGTCTGCAGTGCCCACAACATGAGAACAGGGCATCAGATCCATTGGAACTGCAGCTGCAGACAGTTGTAAGCTGCTATGCAGGTGCTGGGTTGACTCCAGGTCCTTTGGAAGAGCAGCCAGTGTTTTTAACTCCTGAGATACCTCTCCAGTTCCTGTTTCTTACATCCTTGGAAGAAAACTAACTTGATCACAGTGCATAATCTTTTAAATGTGTTATTGTCTCCTGTTTACCTGCAAATATTTTATTGAGGATTTTTGCATCATAATGAAGCAAAAAATTAGTTTTTTGAAAAGGCAAAGATTGACAAACCCTTAGATTGACAGAATATGGGTTTTTTCCCCTCTTGCATAAGGCTAGAAATCATTTTCTTGTATTTCCTTTGACAGCATTAGGATTAAAACACATTCCAACCCCAAGCTTTACGAAAGCTCCAAGTGTAGTACCAGTCAGCTTATGTGCATAGGAAAGCAGCCAGATGGACACACTCTTCCACAACATGGTCAAAGCGGAAACTCGAGGGCACTTTGACTGGAAAACATTGACATTGTGGGATGTTTCTAAGGTGACACTTGTCTGTTAGAGCATGCTCATGAAAGGGAAGTTGGGCTCAGATGCGAAATCATTACATGAGCGGATAAAATCAGAGCTGTTAATACCGCAGCCCACGATACATTTAAACACAAGCGGTGAGAGGGATTCTCAGCAGATATGGAGACATTTTGCATTGGGACAAGTAAAAGCTGGAGTATAATTTCACAGAAACACATCAAAATAGAAAACGACACTGGAACATAATAATAAGTATCTGAAAACTGCATTTTATTTGTATGCCACCTGAATGTCACTGTCATATAAATTATAGAATAAAACTTGAGGAAACACCGAAACATTTTTCAGACACATTAATTCAGTACATAACCAAGCCCCTCGCGCGCTGCTTCAGTAGGAGCTATTTGTATTGAACAACATAGTCATACTTTTTAAAGGAAAATCTCATCGAATGAGCTTTCTGTCAACTCCGTGTTTGTGTCACCCTTACATCTGTAAGATGCAGCATGATAAGTTTAGAATTGAAAATGAGATACCAAGACTTCTCAAAACTCAAAACGTCAGGCATTAAGAATTAGATTTTTTAGAATCACTGCTAATTTCTTATTAATTAATTAATTAATTAATTAATTAATTAATTAATGCGTTTTCAAGACAGGGTTTCTCGGTGTAGCCCTGGCTGTCCTGGAACTCACTCTGTAGACTAGGCTGGCCTTGAATTCAAGGATCTGCCTGCTTCTTCCTCCCAAGTGCTGGGATTAAAGGCATGTGCTACCATGCTCAGCATGTTCTTATATTGATAAAAATTGGACAAGCATATTTTGAATCTGTTTCAAAATCACATCCAAATGTTAAAAGCTTAGAGTATTAAGACATAGTTTCTGAGCTGGTGAGAGGGGGAAAGGGCCCTAAATTCCTTCATTTGTATCTCTGAATATTTCATTGTCCAATTTTGGTGTCTTTTAGCTTAGCGACTTTTAATTTGACAGAGTGCTAAAGGCAATCTATAGTGGCTCTCTCTGTAATATTTGAATCCAGTTTTCTCCAAATAGTGAAAATGCCTGGAAAGGATTATTATGTACATTATTCTATTTCCAGCAATATATAATTGCAAGTGGTGTAGTTTTCTTGAGGGTGGAATCCAGAGCCTCACGCCTGCTGAACCGTCTAAACCTGCCAAGGGCTTTTAAAATTCAGTAAGAATATTAAGTTGGAAAGCAGATTTTCATTCTGTAAAGTGGACGATGATATTAGCTCTCTGCCCATGCATTTATCTTGTTCTTTAATCATCTGGTTAACCTTTCAGCATCGACTCTGATGGGACAATGACAGTGGACTGGAATGAATGGAGGGACTACTTCTTATTTAACCCTGTGACAGACATTGAGGAAATCATCCGTTTTTGGAAACACTCTGTTGTAAGTTTGCTTTATGTATCTGTATCTCCAAGCCACAGGGAGAGTGCTGATGCAGGAAACACAACTCTTGCCCCAAAGGAGACAGGAGATAGTTTATTCTGTAGCTAAATGAAGGCCTGGCCTGGGAACATAGATTCAGGTTACTCTAAATTTGGTGTTCTAACATGGAAATATTTCCATGAGGTTTTTATACTAGCAGAGCAAAGAAAATTGTAAATCAAAATACTTTTTAAATACATTGGTGGGGTCCATAGCAGAAACTTCCCTGCTTTGCTATGGACCTCAGATGCTGGGATGATGTTCTTAGCCCATGGGTTAGTGGAATCTAGGGGTCCATTCATATCTTTCAAAGGGTTTACCTAATAGTAACAAGGATGTTAGGTCACAGACAGAGGAAGAGACTAAATACATATTAAGGGGGATAAAGGTAGTTAATAAGGGGGATAAAGGTAGTTAATGTGTTGGCTCTAAACCTGCAGCATTGCAACCTTTCCACATCACTGACGTTCTAATCAGGCTGTCAGCCTTTGCAGTCACTTTTTCTAAATGGAAATCTGCTTGACAGTACTAACCACCCGAGAGCACCATAACACCCTGCAAGGGTGGCCAAGAGAGTCCACGTGTGTTTTAACTTCTAGAATCCTGTTTATTCTATTAGGTACAGATTTATAGAGTATCTTTAGAGTCCCCGAGGCAGCATAAATACAGCTCTTCTCAAAACTTGGAAGAATCCCATCTTGACGAGCAGGCTCTCTGGGTTTCACTGACATTCAGGGCTTGTGCCATAGGGAAATCTGGTAGTCAGAGGACAGGCGTTACTCAAATCTTCCCTGCACTTCCAGGTTGCTAAAGGTGAGACAGCCTCGGGTCCCTCCTGAGGTTCTGCTTGTTAGTCAGGCTGCCTAGATTTAGTGCTGTCCTAAGGTGGCTCGTTGAATGCTTGCTGTGTCCCACCAGTGTATACACCACAACATATCATTAACATTCTGCAAAACTATATTGGTGTAAATTAGGTTCTGTGGTCCAGTCTGTTCCTTGAAGCCCCTGGGGACCTTCTGCAGGATCTCCCACTCCTCGTGCTGTGGGTTTGTCTTCTCTACTTGGAGAGAAGTGTCTTTGACTCCCACTCAGTACACCTGGGGTTCACAGTGCCTGTAGTAACAATGCCTAAGCTTACACAGAGCATTGTAAAACCAATTACAAGTACAAATTTTACTGTGTGAACTTTGTATTATATCTTTGGGGACAGTTGATAACATTTGATGTTATAATCATTAACCTATTTTATTGGTAACAAATGAAAGAAGAGGGTGTTACTACCAAAGTGTGGCTCATTACCTTTCATGCCCGTAACGATTTATGTGAAGGCCATTTTTTTTGTGTGTGTGTATATTGTCCTAGGGCCTGGAGCATGCTAAGAAAGCGCTCTATGACCTAGTTAGACCTACCACAGCATTTAGATAATTCAGTTGCAAAAATATCATGATGATAAAACTGTTCTTAAACTATATAGAAGATGAGTATAGGGCTATTTATGTGCCTGGTTTAATTTTAAAAGTTACATATTTGAATTTATATATAAATATACTTCATGGCATAGAGAGCAGGGGACATAACTGAGACAGAGTGTCTGCAGTGCGGACTGGCTACTGTGTGACTTTCTAGCATTGTGGAAAGTGATGGACAGGGATCCACTAAATGTGGTATAAGACGTTGCCCTTACAAAAAAAGTCACCAGATCTGACAAAAAAGACAAGGTTGTGTTTGTTGGGCCCGCTTCTGTAACTGACAGTTCCCAGTCCCTGGACGTTGATTCTGCATTCTGTGCAGTGCGACAAAACTTTTCCGTGCACTCAGCTTGGTTCACTGTCAGTCCCAAGGAAGAGCCTTGATTCTAACAGTAAAAGCTCTGACCCAAAACCAAAGTTCCGGCCTTGTCTATTGGAGACTTAAGAACTGTGGGATCTCTTTGCATTTTACCAGGGAATTGACATAGGGGATAGTTTGACTATTCCGGATGAATTCACAGAAGATGAGAAGAAGTCAGGACAGTGGTGGAGGCAGCTCCTGGCAGGAGGCGTGGCTGGCGCCGTCTCAAGAACCAGCACCGCACCTTTGGATCGCCTCAAGGTCATGATGCAGGTGAGCCTCGCCTGTGTGTACAGGCGCAGAAAGCAGGCCACGTCTCATTAACACTCAGATTAGGCACATGTCTAAGTATCTGGTACTGTTTCACTAAACTGCAAATTCTTAAAGCTTGGGGGTAATGAAATTTTAGTCTTTGATAGTCTGTGACTTTAAATGTTTCATTAAAGCTAGGCATGGTGGTACAGGCCTTTAATCCCAGCACTCAGGGAGGCAGAGGCAGGTGGATCTCTGTGAGTTAGAGGCCAGACTGGTCTACAAATTGAGTCCGGGCCAGCAAGGCTACACAGAGAAACTCTGTCCAAAAAATATGATGACAATAACAACAGCAATAATAATGAAAATAATAAATAAAAATACAAAAAGAAATAAATTGTTTAGTTAAAAAAAAACTCTCTCTGCTATTATAGGGTTCTCATTAAATTACTTACACTTTCTTTGATTTTAGAAAGCAGAGGATTTCTCAAATGTAGATAGTTGGTGATAAGAATATAATTTCAAAAGTGATTGTAGAGCTGTTAGCAGAAAAGACCTGGGTCTGTAGACAGGCTTGGCTGCTTCCTGATGTTGGGCTGGCCACATGGAGAGAAGAGAAAAGAAAGACCACCCATTTGTGTGCATGATGGTAACCCATTTAATCTTCATGGCCGCTCAGGGGAACAGATGGTTTGCCTTCATTTTACATACGAGAAAACTGAGGCTGTAAGAATGAAAAAGAGATGAGGCATGTTGTAGCTTAATTTCCAGAGCCCTTGGCTCCTACCCTGTGTTTGACCTCTGAGAGCTCATGTTTCCTCCCACAATGGGCAGAGTAGCGAACAAGGATGGCTCTAAGGTTTAGCTTATTATAACTATTGGCATACTGGAACAATCTAGAAGAGCACAGTAGTTGCGTAAGAATGTTTTGTGTTATTTTATGTGTGTAGGTGTTTTTCCTGGATGTATGTATGTGCAATGCATGCATATGGTTTCCCAGAAGAAGGTGCCAGGTCCCCCGAAACTGGGCTTACAGAGGGTTAGAAAGATGCTATGTGGGTTCTGCGAACCAAACCCGTGTCCTCTGCAAGAGCAGTGAGAGCCCTTAACCACAAAACCAGCTCTACAGTTCCTTAAAATGTTTAAATAAAGCTGTGCTTTTATACCCACAGTCAGCATGTTTTTATTTTTAAATTGTTTGAACAAAATTTTCTGACAATATTTTAAGCTACCATTCATTCACAGTATATCCAATTCCAAAATGTAGCTCACACTTTATAGAAAATGAGAGGGAATTGATAGATGCCTCCCTCCCTCCCTCCCTCCCTCCCTCCCTCCCTCCCTCCCTCCCTCCCTTCCTCCTTCCTTCCTTCCTCCCTCCCTCCCTCCTTTCCATCCTTCCTTTCTTGTTTTTGTTTTTATGAGACAGGGTTTCTTTGTGTAGCCTTGGTTGTCCTGGACTTGCCTTGTAGACCAGGCTGGCCTTGAACTCACAGAGATCCTCTGCCTCCACTGGTGCCCCGATTACAGGCGTGTGCCACTGTGCCCAGCACTTTTCTTTAATATTGTAGTAAACTGACTTTGAGACAGCTTGAATAGGCACACGTCTTTTCCTTTGCCATATGTTATCATGAAGTTTATTATGTAAAATAAAATAGATATGTTAAGAGTATAGTTTCTCCGCATCTAAAGGGTTTTCCAAAGTCTCCTACAAGGTTAGATGGCCTCATAAAATACACTCTTTGGCTTGGTTTATTGCCAGGATGAATTATGGATTCAGATTGATCAAGGGAAGATAGTACAGTGGGCAGAGTCCAGGAAAGTACCAAACGCAGGGCTGCTTTTGTGCATGCCCTATGCTGCTCTAACACCTTCCTTTCCTGGTGCTGATGTGTTCGGCTCAGACCTACTTTAGAGAAGTGTATCAACAATGTGCAGGAATATTCCATGGCCACTCTGTTTTTATTTGTAGGTTCATGGTTCCAAATCAATGAATATATTTGGAGGCTTTCAGCAGATGGTAAAAGAAGGAGGAATACGGTCCCTTTGGAGAGGAAATGGCACAAATGTTATTAAAATCGCTCCTGAGACAGCTGTTAAGTTCTGGGCTTATGAACAGGTAATTGTTATCATCCATGGAAATGATTAACAAAAGGAGTTAGCTAACAGATTCAGTAAAGATTAGCATGCAGTGCTTTGGGGATTCATTCCTAATATTTCACAAGGAGATTCCTTATGGGAGACTAGAATTAGATAAACTCAGTGATTCCACACAGCTGATTTCCAGGATTTTTGGATGCCATCATAGCATTTATAGAGGGAGGCTTTCTCCATCCTCTTTTCTAAGTAGCTCTTCAAAGAATGCTCTTAGGAGACTCAATGTGAATTCCTAGTGGACACAGAGCAGTTAATCTATATTTTATGAAAGTACTCCTGAAATGAAAACCTTTCAGATGAATTCCTTTGTGCGAATGGAATTGTATTAAAAAAGTTGAAAAGTTCCGTGAAGGCGGGGGTCTGGCTTCTCCCCGCATGCCAGCACCCAGGCAGAGCCCAGCACAGCTGACGCGATGAGTGTTTGTTGAGGGAGTGGATGAGAAAGTAAAGGAAGACCCTTGCCTTCCTGTCAGCATCTCTGCTGGCCAGATGGAAAAGCAGTGGCTTTAGAGGTCGGCTTCTCCTACAGATATTAGCAGAACTACTGCAGCTTCTAGAAAAAAAATTTTTTTTGTCATTCTTTTCTGTTATTGTTCATCATAACCTATGTGCGACTTCAAGTTTAACTCCACACTGTAGTTTCTTATTTGGATAAGTTTAATGTTATTCCAGATAGTTTGTCCTAGAGAAGTACAACTCTTTTGAAATGACCAGGGCTAGCGGTGTGCATTCCTTGACTTGGAAAATAGAGAAGCAAAAAGCAGCGGGTCTCAGTCTTTACATGGAGACCATTCTGGGGAAATGAAATTTTCTGATTTGAATGCCTGAGCATTCAGATTATGACTAATATTATGATATGAATGCCAGAGCCTAAGATACATATTCAGATACAATGCTGTTGCTTTAATATGCGGAAACTCGCTGTACCTGAAAGCCCCCACACAGCACACTTGATCCTGCTTGTCAGATTCTTATTCTGGCTTCCCCAACAGGCTTACCCCTTCCTTCCACTCCCTGTTTTAAATGATGCTGGGATTTGAACTTAGGATGCTGCATGTGCCAGGCAAGAGCTCTGTCATTGAATTCTTTTGCCAGCCCCGTGGTAATCTAATTGACAACCCACTTCCCAGGAGACAGTCAGCATTAAGCCCTACTTTTCTGCTAGGACGACTGTTAAGGTAGAGGGTCCATCTTGAAGCATCTCATCATGTAAGTGGACCGATTCCTAGGGTCTGATTTGTGTTTTGCAGCTGGAAAGTACCACCAAAGGTGTGGTTTAAACAATAGACATTTACTTCTCATAGTTTTCAAGCTTAAAGAGAATCAGATCAAGGGGCCAGACAGTGGAGACCCTCTTCCTGGCTTCTTGCTCTGTTGTCATATGGCCTTGGTGCATGGTTTGGGCATAGTGTTAGCTAACTTGCATGCCTTCTGACAAAGATGCTAGCTGTGTCCTGAGGCCTCAGAACTTCTTCTAACCATAGTTGTCCCCAAAGGCCCCATCTCTCAATACCATCATGATGGAGGTTAGGGTTTAACATAAGAATTTGGGAGGAGCACAGTTACCCTAAAGTAGCTATTAATATGCATTTTAAAACTCTTTTTTTCCACAGTACAAGAAGTTGCTTACTGAGGAAGGACAAAATATAGGTACCTTTGAGAGGTTTATTTCTGGTTCGATGGCTGGAGCAACTGCGCAGACTTTTATTTATCCCATGGAGGCAAGTACCGTTGTGGTCTGACTGCTTGGTGCCGTGTGCACTGGCCAGCTGTGGTTGTGCACTAAGCTAACACAAGCTCAACAGTTTAAAACAAGGCTTTACCACCCCCGGTTGGGAGTCTGGGTTTCCCTGGCTCTTGTCAAGGCATCAGCCAGGGCTGCAGTCATCTAGAGGCTAACCTGGGGCAGGTCTTCTCTCAGGCTCACTCATGTGGCTGCTGCCAGGGCTCGCTGGCTGTTGGCTGGAAGCATCATTCTCTTATACAAGCCCTTCTAGATGCTCTGTGTGTCTCTACAGAATGGCAGCCTGCTTCCTTTATAGTCAGTGCTGCTATGGGTGAGGAGAGAGAGAGAGAGAGAGAGATACTGTGATTGATGAAAACTGCTGTCTTCACTTTCCTGGTACCTGGCTGGCTGACCCTGGTGCCATGTAGGAGGGGACCATGCAAAGCAGAGCATCCCTGGAGGCAGGATTCTTAGGGGCCATCTCAGAGGCTGGCTGCCGCGGTGCTGATAGGAATTATTCTTCTCTAGGAGCTTTTGTACTATAACCGCAGTCATGGTTGTAGGCTGGTCATGCCATCTAGGCATCATTCCAGTAAAGCATGGGCTGGCTGGCAAACTGTGGACTGTCGTGTACAACCTGAGCTGTGTTACACCTGGAAAAGGCAGGGAGAAAGCAAAGGAAAAGTGAAGACTGTGTTACAGACCATATTTGAGGCTTGCAAAGATTGAAATATTTACTGTTTGGCCTTTTTGTAAAGTGTTGGCCAACTCCTACTTTAAAGCAAAACTCACACTATAGATGTGGATAATTTTATGGACACAGCGAGTGTTTTTCAATAACTGATAAGACTTAAGCAGAGTATACTCTTCATTTGAGCCTCTTTGTGATACTCATGTCAATAGATGTGTGTGTGTGTGTGCACACGCACTTGTGTGCATACGCGTGTTTGTGTGGGGTGCACGTGTGTTTGCATGTGCCTGTGGGGGCCAGAGGTCAACCCCAGCTGTCATTTATCAGGAAACACTGTGTACCTTGCTTTTGAGACTGGGTCTCTCACTGGCCTGAGCTCAGTGATACAGTCTAGGTTGACTGGTCTAGAGTTCTACACGGCTAACCTCCAGGGACCTCAGGCATCCACTCCCCTGCCTGGCTTCGTATGTAGGTTTTGCGGGTCAAAATCAAGTCCTCATGTTTGTGCCGTAAGTGCTTTGTAGGCTGAGCTACCCCTGAGTCTCTAGAGGTGTTTTTATGTCACTCCACACACCCTTCATTTCACCTATTGCCATCACCTTCCCACCTCTCCACCCCAACGCTGTGCTTCAAGCTGATGACACCGGGACTGTCCCCAACACCGCTATCTTCTTCACCTTCCTTGCCAACTAATTTTATTATGACATCAAAAGGATTGTCTGGTCCACATTTAATTTTTTGGCAAAGCCCTCCTTCAGAGTCTCTATGAAATAACTGGCCCTTTGTGGCTCTAATTTTAGCTTCTCAATGGAAGTAACAACTGAGGGAGAATCTGTCAGCAGACTGGACATTCTCTTGAGAGACAGAATCTTTCTAGTGCCTTATAAAGTCAGTACTTTCGAATTGTTTGATGAAATGCCAATGACACTGTGTTGCGTTTTTTGGTAACTAGGTTTTGAAAACCCGGCTAGCTGTAGCCAAAACTGGACAATACTCTGGCATTTATGGCTGTGCCAAGAAGATTTTGAAACAGGAAGGCTTCGGGGCTTTCTACAAAGGCTATGTTCCCAATCTACTAGGCATCATCCCTTATGCAGGCATCGATCTCGCTGTGTATGAGGTGAGGGAGGGCACAGCTGGGTGTCTGCGTGCAGAGCAGGTGGACAGCGGGCTGCCGTCGACTCTGACTTGGTGTCAAGGCTGGGAGAGTGCAAGAGAACCGTTTGCGACTGGACTGCCTGCAGGCGTGCTCTTTGATCTTGCCAGCACCGTGACTGGGAGCTCACGAATGCACGAGTCATTTTTGTATTAGGTGTCCTTGCATACTTCCTTTTGTTCACCCAGAACATGAGCTCAGATTCGGCTTGGAAGACGGCGTGAGGGAGTTGGTGGGGGCAGGGGCACAGAACAGATGAGCAGAAACTTATTAGGAGCCAAGTGAGTGATGCAGTCACAGAGCTTCGTCCTGTGCCTCTAGGGCTGGGTTCGGGGCTGGATGGGAATGACTGTAAAGTGCAGCCTGGGTGTGGAGATTTGATCTCAGACAGCTTAGCACGTGAGCATGGCTCGCTCAGGTCAGCAAGCTGTGGGGTCTCCCCTGCCACCTGGGCCATTTAATAACTCGGGAATCTGACAACCATTTTACTGAACATATGCTGTATTCAAACCTTTACCTTAGACACTGGATTGAAAGAAGGACTCGGGGCCTTTAAGAACCCAGAGTTCTGGTGGGGAGATGGGCGAGGCCACAGGCCGACTTCAGCATTGTTAGTCATGGGAGCGAGATCTCGCAGGTAGAACTAGGTAGATAGTATATTTTTAAAAAGTACTAGCATGTATTTTTATCCTTAAAATGTTTTATTTTTAAAGAAAGTAAAATATCATTTATTTGACAACAGGAAACAACCCTGATCATGTTTACACTGAAGGAACATGGGGCTGAGTATCTCCTTTGTTGACTGTCCTCTTTGTGTTGGGCAGCTTTTGAAATCTTATTGGCTGGAAAACTTTGCTAAGGACTCTGCTAACCCTGGCGTGATGGTGCTGCTGGGCTGTGGAGCGCTATCCAGCACCTGCGGGCAGCTGGCCAGCTACCCCCTGGTTTTAGTGAGGACTCGCATGCAGGCACAAGGTGAGTTTGGGATGCAGGATGGCTTTGATGACCCTTTGTGTCACTCACGTGCTTTTGGAACTCTCTCCTTCTCCGTGTGTGTGTGTGTGTGTGTGTGTGTTATTGTTTCTCCTTTATAGACATAATCCAAACCCTTTAGGAACATAAGGTTTGACATCTAGCGGATTTGTACTTAGGTCTTTGCTGCATGTCTTTTTTTTTTTTTTTTTTTGTCTTGTCTTGTCTTCCATGAACAGGGATTAGGAAAATTAGCAGCAGTACGTGTAAAGAATTTGGTAGTTACTAACCTCTCAAGGTAAACAGTGGCTAGACTGCTTATCAGTGCTGTTCAGACCCCAAGCTTGGCACCAACCCCCCCCCCCCTTCTGTGTGGCGTTCTCTCTGATGGCTCCCAGGCTGCACTACCCTGACGACTGTTTTCCTGCTGGTTCCTGCTGTCCGTTGCTGCCTGCTCTGTGGAAGCATGTTTGTCTTTCTTTGGCAATCTCTGTCTTTCTTTCCTGCTCTTCTCTTTCCCTCTACTGTAATTTCTCTTACGAATGCATAAGGGGCATTCGTGGCTCACTCAACCCCTCTTCCCGGAGCAGCCACCTCCTCCTTTAACCAAGCAGTAAGTCACTTGTTGACATGCCTGAGCCATCACTGGGACTGGACACGCCTTCATATGGATGCTAGGGCTGGAGAATGCAACAATGTCAGTTGTGAACCTGTTCATGGTAGAGTGCAAAAGACACAGAGGCAACCACAAAATGGCCCTTCAAAACATGTTGTGGCATCAGTTCTAGTCCAGCTCTAGCTGAAGCCTGGGAATGCAGTGGAAGCTGGCTGGGCACAGGCCTGCACTGCTGTATTTGAGGAGTTTAGAGGTCATCACGTCTGCCGAGAGGAAGAAGAAATAGCGGGCTAAACGTGCCCAGCCTCTCAGATAGCCGTTGTGACCACTTTGGGAGCTTGATACTACTACTATCCACATTTGCCAAATGACTGGCAGGTCAAAACAGCCAAAGGGTGTCCACAGAGTTATGCATTTGAGCTGGAGTCTGGTTGGAGTTCAGACCCATGCAAGGATTTAAACTGCTGCACAGTGAGCCTCCCGCTCCTGTCAGAGCTGGTCCAGACCTAGCATGGCTGCCAGGATCTGACATTTTTCATCAAGGCCCAAACATTCCATATCTCTTCAGACATTTCTTGTAACTCTTCAGAGTTTCCGGAATAAATTTCAAAGTTCTTAGTGGGAGTTCCAAAGTCTTTAGCAGCCATGTCATGCCTCAGGTTTAGCTCCTTCTGTTCCCTGACCCCAACTATGCTGCTGTGTGACTTTTCCTGTGAGTGCCAGAGTGGACTGTGTGTTCACCCAGACAGGGCAAGGACGGACCAAAGATACAGGCCCACCCCCGTCTAGCGTAGTGCATTGGTGAGTTTGCTGGGATGAGTACTGGAGTGTGGGTGATTGCTCCTTTCAGGGGCTTGAGCAACTCAACGACAGCTGCGCCACCACACCTCATCCTGCAACCAGCGCAGGCAACCACCCACAGAAGCTGAATCCATGGAGCTCCCTGCATAAACTGCAAAAAAACTTGTGCTGGAGTCTCCTGTCCACTGTAGTTATAACTGCTCGTGTAACCCCGGGGATCGGGGACAGCCCTGTGAATCATCAGAATCTATCTGAGCTTGGCAAGTTTTCTTTACTTCCTCAGTCTTAGGAGTCTCCTTGACCTTGTGGGAATGCTTCAGTTGGGGGGAAGCAGCTACCCAGCATGTGGGCATCTCTGGCCCCTTGGGATGCCATGGGTAATACTCACATCCGGTGATCACCATGCTCTCCTCCCCGATGCCTGCTCCTGCCTTTGTCTTTTGCTTGTACCAACCATATGGGCTGCTTCCTTCTCTCCCTCCTCCTTTTCAACTCCTACTTTCTTCACTTCCTTCTCTCCCCCTGTTGAGATAATTACAAGGCCCGAGTCTCTTACAGTCCTTCTAAAACTTCTCCAAATCTTCCCTTCTCCTGTTATCCAATTTTTAAAAAACTTTTTATTGCATCTTTGTGAGTTTCATTATCTAGTCCAACTCATCTCCCCATCCCCCTTTATTCTCCCTTCACCCTTGCACCCTCCCCCCCAAATAAAACATACACATCAACAAACCAATAAATACAACAACAAAAAAGAAACTATAGAAAACATCTCATCGTGGAAGCTGTAGTGTGGCACAGTGTGTCCCACAGTGCATCCCTCTGTCCACACATCTCCACTTGCAACTGTTCATTGCGGTGGGTCATAGGTCTGGTTTGAGGTCTCGGGCCCATGTGCAGTGGTGGAGTGCCGGAGTTAAAAGCGCTGCACTTGAGCGTCACCAACCGCAGCTTCTTGGTTTTGCTACTTGCTAACTAGGGGTTCAAGACAAGGCTCCCTATCTTTCCAAGTTTCTAATTCTTCATTTATGAACTATGCTCATTTATTCTGAAGGGCTAGCATAGGACGCAGCACAGAGCAATCCACGATGAGCTGCTGTGGCCGTCGCTGTGGTGGGCGCTGCACAGAGAGAGTTGCTTTTGAAATTGATTTTCATCCGTTTGTTATGCTCTAGATACAATAATAATGCTTGAATAGTGCACTAGCCTGGTTCCCTCTTCCAATTTGTACTTACCTGTTTTGTTGGTTTGCTTGTCTGTTTGCTAGCCATGGTGGAAGGAGCCCCACAGCTGAACATGGTGGGCCTTTTTCAGCGAATCGTCTCCAAAGAGGGAATGCCAGGACTTTACAGAGGCATTGCCCCAAACTTCATGAAGGTGCTCCCCGCTGTTGGCATCAGCTATGTGGTATACGAAAATATGAAGCAGATGCTAAACATAGCTCAGAAGTGACCAGTCCACACCTTTGCTTTTCCATGATGACCAAGACTGTCAGTGCTCTCCAGTGACAAATGGGATTGCAGCAAGTCTGTCAGAAAAAAAAGAGTATCTGTGATCACTGCAGGCGTTTGGGTTTGGTTTTATACCTTCAGTAATGTGCAAAATCATATTTTCAATAAGTGAAGCACACAATTTAGTTTTGCTGATAAAGATCTGTGCCCTGTACCTTAAACCTGAAAATGTACTGGCTTGAGATGAAATAATTTTGTGTGGTAGGATTACAGTCACCAATCTCTGTTCTGATTGGTTCAAGATAATGCCAACTTGTTTACAGCCAAGTGTTTTTTTTTTTTTTTAAACAAAATGATCAGAAAACCGTGGGACATAAATTGTATATATTTTAGATGTCTTTATAGACCTGAAATTCCCTGACAGAAACATTAGTAGAAAGATCACTGTATTTAAAATCAACCTTATGTGGTTTATAATCCTCATCTGTAAGCAGAATAGGAATGAAGTATAGAAGCCAAATTTGTGTGTGGAGGAGCAGTAAGATAATATTTGTTCCAGTGGACATGCTTCTTTTCTACTTGCATTACCATTTGGTCCTCAATTTTAGAATTTGATTGTTATATATATTGCTAAATTATTATTTGGAAGATCCTATTTATTCTGTCATTGCTTTGAAAAACATCAATGAACAAAACCGTTGACTTGCACCATTTCCTAGAGAGCATCTTGGTTTTGTTTTTGTTTGTTTGTTTTTAGTTTTTTAATCAAATTCTCTTAACCAGGAAGGTTCCTTGGAACCTTTATAGTAATCTGAAATTGCTCTTTTTATGACTTGAGTGTTGATTTCGCTTCCCTCCTGCTGTTGAAGTCTTTTGAACCTTTGCTTCTCAGATAGGGTGACACAGGATAAGACACCAGCATAGTTCGATAGTGGTATGTGTTCATCTTACTCACTTTAACAAAAGGCTCAATCTGTAAACTTATACATATATATTTTCACTTGTCTCAAGATTTAGGAAGATGACAGAAAAATGATAGTATCAATAGTATTTCAATTTTTTACAAAGCTGATTTTGTAGTCAATTATCTTTTATGATTTGTTTTTATTAGAACTTTAAAAAGTTTTATTTCTTCTATAAGAAGATATTTGATATTCTTAGCCTGATAGTATTGGCATACACCTTTAATCACAGCACTCAGGAGGCAGAGGCGGGCAGATCTCCGAGTTCAAGGCCAGTCTGGTCTAGAGAGAGAGAGAGAGAGAGAGAGAGAGAGAGAGAGAGAGATCCAAGACATCCAGGGCTACACAGAGAAACCTATCTCAAAACACTAAAACAAAACAAAACAAAAGAGATAGTTTTAGCATTTTAAGATTTAGTCCGTATACTTATTTGGTTTCTGGTAATTTCTGTTATAATAGCTTTCTGAAATATCTAGTGACATGGAAGTCGTTGCCTTTAACCTACCTACCTCTTTTATTTTTTGAACCAAAGAGAAAAGATGGTCGTGTGTTTATGAAACTTATTCTAAAATATAGTTTGATGTGTTCTCCTGATACCTGTTATTTTCTCGGTATTTTTATACTGCGTAAGGAAAGGAAGGGACCGCACTTTGTCTTTAGGGTTACTGTACTTTTGAGTAATACATAGAATGACAGTATTAAAGTACACGATTCATTCCTGTTTTGCTCATAACAATTATGGAAATGCATAATTCTGTGAATGTTTTTGGAATCTCCTGCTGGTGAAAACTATGAAAATATTCATAGCTCATATGACATTAGATTGTCCTCTGTTGAACATGTGTAACGTATGACTGATTTACCTGTGCATCTTGTATCTTTTGGAGAAAAAAAACCCTCCTGTTGAAGACACCTTATCCTGCTATTGCTACACAGTTACTGCTCATTTGTATTAAAGATATTTGTCTGTTTTTAAAATGACTTGTTTTCTACTTGTCTTAGTTTCCTCTCTGTTGCTATGACAAAACACTTTGCCAAAAAGCAACTGAGGGAGGAAAAGGTTATTTCACCTTCCAGGCTATACGGTCCTCACTGAGAGAAGTCAGAGCAGGACAGAATCAGGGACCTGGGCTATCCCTCCTACAACTGACAGTGAAGACAATCTCCCACAGACATGTTCCCAGGACAGTCTGATTTGGGCAATCTCTGGCACTTTCCCAGAAAATTAGGAATAGTGCTACCTTAAGATCCAGCTATATCACTGCTAGGCATATATCCAAAAGATGCTCAAGTACATAACAAGGACATTTGCTCAACTGTGTTCATAGCAGCTTTATTTGTAAACAACCCAGATGTTCCTCAACTGAGGAATGGATGCAGAAATTGTGGTACATTTACACGATGAAATACTACTCAGCAATTAAAAACAAGGAACTTTGCAGGCAAATGATGGGACCTAGAAAAGATCATCCTGAGTGAGTTATTCCAGAAGCAGAAAGACACACATGGTATATACTCACTGGTAAGTGGATATTAGACATAAAATATAGGATAAACATACTAAAATCTGTACACCTAAAGAAGCTAAACAACAAGGAGGACCCTGGGTAAGATGCTCAATCCTCATTCAGAAAGGCAAGCAGGATAGACCTTGGAAGAAGGTGAAAACAAGGAAAAAGACAGGAGCCTACCACAGATGGCCTCTGAAAGACTCTACCCTGGAGGGTATTAAAGCAGATGCGGAGACTCATAACCAAACTTTGGGCAGAGTGCAGGGAATCTTATGAAAGAAGGGGGAGATAGAAAGATCTGGAGAGGATGGGAGCTCCACAAGGAAATAAACAGAACCAAAAAATCTGGGCCCAGGGGTCTTTTCTGAGACTGATACTCCAACCAAGGACCATTCATGGATATAACCTAGAACGCTTGCTCAGATGTAGCCCATGACAGCTCATTCTTCAAGTGGGTACCCTAGTAAGGGGAACAGGGACTGTCTCAGACATGAACTCAGTAGCTGGCTCTTTGATCACCTCCCCCTGAAGGGGGAGCAGCCTAGCCAGGCCACAGAGGAAGACAATGCAGCCAGTCCTGATGAGACCTGATAGGCTGGGGTCAGAGGGAAGGGGAGGAGGACCTCACCTATCAGTGGACTTGGGGAGGGGCATGTGAGGAGAAAAGGGAGGGAGGGCAGGATTAGGAGGGAATGAGAGAGGGGCTACAGCTAGGATACAAAGAAAATAACCTGTGTTTAATAAAAAATAAAAAGATTTCCATCTTAGGCAACTCTTTCCTTTGACAGTTGACAGAACTAACTAGGACACTCATTTTGAAAATAAGTTATAAATAATACTTTTTTTGGTGCCGTACATTTATACCACAGACAGTGGCTGAAACAATGCTTTTCACGCCTGCTTTCGTAGAGTCTTTCTCAATCTTTTGCGTTTCCTGAGCAGCTATCATATCCCACATTAGGCACGAGAGACTGCTTCACGTGGTACTCAGGGTACCAAGAAGACTGTGGGCTTGCAAGATTAGCATGGCAACATCTTGGTGAGGAGTGTTTTCATCTTGGAATCGTGTGAAACAGAGCGCAAGCAAGTTTATGAATAAGCAATTGAGCAATTGATGCAAATTAAGCCTAAGTAGAGAATCTTATTCGTAAAAATGAACAAGACTGTGGAGATGGATGGCCACAGGCCTTACCGATGTTGGGAAGAGCATAGGGGCAGGGGCAGGGGCCGCTAGAAGAGGAGTCTGAAGGAGGCCAGGCTCATGCAGATGACTGGTGGGTAGTGAGTGGGGGGGGTCGTCATGCAGGACAGGGGGCAGGCTTTAGGAAGGTTGTTATCTGTACAGTTCTTTCCTGCTTCCTGGCTCTGCAATAGCAGAGGTTCCTTGGTGATGTTCCCCTAAGCAAGATCATAGTTCCCTACTCTCCTGCTCCCTCGCCCCCCCGCTGTCAGCCTGTTCCCTGGGTAGTCTCTCCATCTCCAGGAAGAGAGTAAAATGTTAAAGAGAATTAATTTAAGCACATTCAAATCTGCATTTCCCCCATATGAACTACAGAGATTTTCACTTGTAGAATGCTCATGGGCTATAGTAGTCCTCACTGGTTGTCCTGTATCTGCCCTCAGTATGTTTTTCTTCGCACAAAGTCTGAAATATTGGAAACAACTCTCTCATTCTCTTATTCTAAATTCGACACTGACCTATTTTGAATTGACTTCCACAAAGACAACCAACAGGCAGTTTTATTTTGTCAGGAATGAGGGTGTGGCTGGAGCAGAGCTGTTCGGGGATTTTGATGCATTCTGTTCTGGCTCAACCTTTCCCAGCGGACTTATTCAATCTAACTTGTCTCTTGACCCCTGAATTGCTCTGCTTGGCCTCAAACTACAGCAATCTGCTCTAATCTTCTGGCTCCTCATTCTCTGGCTTGTTATGCCTTCACCGGTGTGTAGCTTGTTCTATCATTCAACCTCTCTCTGTAAAACTCTCCTGGTAAAACTGCTTCCCCTCTCTCTCTGCATTGCCCATAAGTAGCTCCCCTTTCCTCTCTTTTCTCCAGAGAGTTGGGTGTATCCTATTCTGTTAATTTGTTCTCTGATTCATCACCTTTTCTGTCACTCCATTAGACATCATTTTCTAATATAGGTGCTTCCTTTTACAAACTAACTCTACCTTCATTGTCAGAAAACCAGAAGATTAGAAAAGATTGTTGGAGTTAGTTTGAGACCAGGCATAGTAAGTCAGGGGCCGAAAGAGAAGCCAGATTGAATAAGTCAGCTGGGAGAGGTTAAGCCAGAGCAGCTGAGTTGAGCCAGCCAGCCCAGAGCTCAGAAAGAACTAGAAAGGGTGAGGTTACTAAGCAGTAAGTCTCAGAGACTGAAAGCGTTCTAGGTCTAGGTTAGATTGTATAGAGTCTAGAAGCTTCCAGGACTAGGCCTAGGTTAGCAGAGGAAGGCAGTAAGCCTCTGAGACAACAATTGCAACAAGGGGAATAAAAGTTCCTTTCACACCTACGTGTCCCCTGAAGACACACATCCTCCAGCCAGTGTGTCATCTTGAAGCAGGTGCCGACACAGATGTTTGTGTGTGACACTGTCATGTAACCAGTTTGAAATCGATCAGGAGCTCCCATGTTACTTTGCACCTGAGGCAGTGATGTGGGGATCTTAGCCTATTTGGACAGCAGTCACTGTTGACCTCAGTCAATGCAGAAACCTTTTATCCCAGACTCCATGTATTTCATTCCAGCTACTGTGCCATGCTTGGAATGGGCTTAGCTGAGACAACACAGGATGAGAACCTGGCAATCTCTGTCTCCTTTCCAAGCACTGGGCTCACGCCTTTCCTCCCCTCCTCTCACTTCCCTGGGATCCCTGGTGTCTACTCTAGAGGCAGTGTGGGTGTTCCCGAAGATGGAAGAGTCTTTCTCTGAAAATGACTTTCATTTCCACATTTAAACATCTCAGAGGGAAAGAAGTGCTAACTCGTGGATGGAGATAAGCTGAAAGGAACAGTAGAGAGAGACTGAATCTCAAACTCTCTCATTTGGTGCTCTGTGCCTCGAAAAAAGCCTCTGGTGCCATGTGGCATGGAGCTCTGTGCCCAGAAGGGGTCGTTACTTTCACTTGTTTAACATAAACAACAGATGATTCTGTCCACTGAGCATCCAAAGCCCTCAGTGTCACCGATATGCGGCAGTGTGGTTTCACAGCAGACAGCTCGACAGGCAGCATTGAGGTAGAAGAGCCAACAGAAAAATTCCACCCCCTTCCCCACAACTCATCTATCAGAGCTGCAGCCAGAAAGCAAGCCTCGAGTCGGGAAAGGGCGGGTCTGGGCTGTGCTGTCAAATACACACCGTGCCTGTATCTCTTTAATAGAAATTAATAGATTCCTTTAGTATAACCTGGAAAAATGCGACAAATGAAATTAAAAGAAGAAAGCCTGAAGAGAGCCAGACGACCCCGCCTGGGCTCTAGCTCTGATCTCACCGGTATCGGGTGGCTGTATCAGTCATTTCCAAAAGACAATATGGATTATTTGTTACATGCATGTGACTTTCATCATTGTGTCAGAGGCCGTGTGTACTCCCCACCTCACACTTTTCCCATGTAGAGGGGAAGAGAGCACCCTGGACACACAGGTTGCTGTCAGAATGAGAGGGCTGTTGGATAAAAACACTCTCCTTTACACGACACTATTTGACTTGTGTGTGGTGGTACCTCACGGTTTCCGTTAGTGGAAGCGAACATTTTGTTTCTTGGCTTCCAATGTCCCCACCACCTGGTGGATACTATTTATTCTATTAATCGGCCTATTAACAGGTTTGGGCCATGAAGCTCTGCTATATTTGTCTGTAAAAACACTTATTTTTGTAAGCTTGTCATTTAAAAATAACACTCAGTCATTGTACGTATTTATGGGATCCAATGTGAATGTTTCCACTCAGTTATTTCTTGAGGCCAGAAAGGGTTTGTCCCCGCACGTAGTGGCAGTGGCCTCTGTGATCCACTAGGTGGCAGACTTCTCCCAGGGAGTGCCGGCGCCTGTGGGTACCTGGGGAGAAGACAGCAAAGCCTTCCCAGCTTTGCTCTTTCCCTTTGCCTTGACCTGGAAAATCACTGGGCTACCTCTGAGGCCGGATTTAGATTTCCTGCTCAAACCACCAGTACCCTATTTAGAGGAGTGAAATTAGGATCAGCCTGTTACCATTCCAGGAGAGGAGGCGACAGAGAGCCCTTTCATGTGCTTCACTGAAGGGAAGGGCTTGTTCCTGCTTCTTAAAGACATTTTTTTCCAAAACCAGAAAGATGCCATATTTTAGAAGTGAAATCCGACATGACTGAAAGAACAAACAAGGCTGCCAATGTACCGAGCTGTAGGTACATGTTCACAACTGTGGAAAATATTTCTGGGATATTTATGTGAGTAAATTTCTTTTCTTTCTTTTTTTTTTTTTTCATTTCCCGAAA